TGCGCAGCTGGGTGGGGCTGTCCCGGGTAGGTGAAGCTGGGGGAGGGGGGAGGAAGGAAGAGGGAGGGAGGGCGCTGGGAGGGAGGGGTGAGCCCTGGAGCCGGACCTGAGCCTGGCAGGAGTGGCTGGCTGGAGAGGCTTCTTTGGTGACAGTTGTTTGAAGGGGCCCCTGGGGCGGCTCCAGGGAGCCCAGTCTGAACTCCGACCCCGGGGTCCGTCTCACAGCTTGCGAGCGGCAGGGTTGTGCAGTCCGGGGCCTGCAGTGCGGTGCCGAAGGCGAGAACTCTTGGGTTCGCCTGGCTGGCCCGCCAAAGGTGTTGGGGCTTCTGGGTGACCGCAGCACCCGAGTCCTCGCCTCCACTGTGGCCTTACTGAGTCTGAGCCTTGGGAGCGCAGCTCAGGTGGGGGTTGCTCGGGGTGCTACGCGATGACAGTCACGGCCAAAGAAGGGAGGTTGAGGTGGCTCCCGAGAGACAAGCACCTGGCCCCTCACCCCCAAGCCCCCGGCCGTCAGAGTGCCCGGTCACTGTGGCTTGGTTCCCTCTCTTGGCCTCCAAAACCCCCCTTTCTCCCAGAGCAGACCACTGTGGCCCCTTGGACCCTTCTGAGCAGAGTTTCTCAGGGTCATACAGAACAGAAGTGTACAGAGGTACTGCAGAGCAAAGGCTGAGAACGCCGTGGCCGGCCCACTCTCTTACTGTAGGTTCCTCCGTACCAAGAGATGCGAACAGAACTCTAAGGTAACAGGCTAGAAAGGCTCCCTCCTGGGTGTGTTAATTAGGAGATTATCCCACCCCCTAGGCTCTGGGGACCAATCATGCTAGTGGCTTGTTTATACTTTAGCTGGGAGGGTAGCATGGGGGTGGGGGGGAGGGAGGCAGTGAAGCAAAAAGACCACAAGAGCAACACACACACATGCACACGCACACGGACGCTTCCTAGGCCTCTCTGGAGTAGAAGAGAGATGGGAACCTCCTTGTCGTGGTGTTGGGGAAAGGTGGAGTAAGAGAAGCCAGGGAAGAAGTGGCTAGGACCTGCAGGGATGGGGACAGAGTGTGTAGCGGACCAGAGGCGTGTGCATTTGTAATCAGGGGGGAGAGACTGTGACTCCCCAGCCATAAAGCCTCTTCCTGGTTTCTGTGATCCGAACACTGTGGGAAGGAGAGGAAGGGCACGGGCAAGTGGGGGAATGGCCAGAGGGGATTTGAGGCCCAGAGACAGGCTCATCCCCTGGAGAAAGGGGCACAGCCGAGGGCATAATAGGTGCCTGGCAGCCCTCTGCAGGAAGGAGTGACTTCCTTGAAAGGAGGCGTACCCACATGATGGTGTCTGAAAAGAGCTTCCTCCTCTGCCCCGTTGCGGAGCACACATTTCATCCTCGGTGAGCAGAATAAGCGTGGGAGAGGGTTTGGGTAAGTAAACGAGGCCCGGTCTTGACGCCAGGAGAGCATCATGAGGGGCACCGTGGAAGCCTTGCAGAACAGGGTCGGGGGGATGGCTGGCAGGCCACCAGGAGTGCAGCAAGAGAGTGGTCCAGGGAATGTTGGAAAAAGAAAACACCAACTTCACAGGTGACAGTGGAAGCTTTTAGTAAGACCCGAGGTCTTTGATGCTGAAAACTCCAGTCCTGGGATGAGAAGACAGTTAAATGTGGGATGCTAGCGGTTATACAAACTGGCAGGAGCTGGTGGGAAGACTTGCCCGCCTCACTGGTGTTCTACTTGGGAACGGAGGGATCGTACTTTCCTGGAACAAGCTCTGGCTTCTCCTGAGTTCATTCCTCCATGCCAGTTCCCCAGGCCCTTGGATCCTGGAGGAGGGGAGTCACAGTTGGGGCTCTTTCTCTAGGGAGGTGAGGGGAGGTCATCCCACTCACTTCCGGCCAGGAAGGGCCCTTCTAGGATGTTCTGGTTTCGTTTCAACCTGTTCCACTTCCACAGGTCTCGGACTTGCATGAAAAGGCACACGAGAGCAGGGTGGACATTATCTCTGGCTTGGGGGTTGGGGGCAGCAAAGGAGTGATGCTGAGACATTGGTTTTCACTCAGGTCCTGAACCTCTGGGGGTCAGGAAAAGGGAAAAGGACAGGCTTATGGGCTCGGGTTCTTTGGGGGCCAGAGGGTTCTGAGATTGGACTCTCCCAACTTCCTATGGCTGGATGCCCGGGTTGACTGGAAGGTAGCGCAGTTAGGGAAGGGGAGAGTATATGCCGAAGGGCTACCCTGGGCCAGAACTGAATGACGAAGACATCCCGGAATGCTGACTTGTGCATGGGGAAGGGCAGCTGGGGAACACTGTACAACTAACGTTTTCATTGAGGTGGAGAATGGGGCCTCAACAGGAGATGAGCTTGGAAGCACTTGAGTGTATTGTGAGACATAACACATTCCAGGATATGCAGCGACAAGTGTCTGAGAAATGCGGGACATTGAGGGTCAGCTGGACCTGGTGTCCAAGGATGAGGGTAAGGATGCTGGCATGGTGGTGAGTCTCAAGAAGGAAGGACGTGATGATATTACAGGATTTCAGTATTAGGAACACTGGGTGCGTGGACATGGCTTTCCAATCACAGTTCCTTGTAGGGAACAGATAGGAGATCATGTTGACTGTCCATCATAAATGCTTTGGACTACCTTCCAGACTCCGGGCAGACCACAATGAACTCTACTGGGATATGCTCGCTCCTGAGACCAGTGGGATTTGCTTTATTTTCTGTAACAGGAGACTGGGAAATAGCACACGGTAGTTCTCCCTTGACACCCTTCTGTCTTGCATCACAGTTTGGTTGTTCATGCTTCTTGAAGGCAGATGCCTGTGGTTTTCTTTGTGTTTGCCAGGGTGCCCAGCTCTGAGCCTTGCGAGTTACTCTGTCAACGTACGCTGAATGAATGTGAGTAACGGGAGAGCAGGTCTATGCTTGTGGTGAGTATACAACAGATCCTCAGTTCACATCACGACGGGATGCCCATCCATGGGAGTGGTGGCGGCAGAAGACCGCTCGGATGTTGAGAGTCTTTGGGTGGGAGCGTGTAATTATTAGGGTGTGCTCTGGGGTGAATTAAACTTGATGTACTTCATCTGTCAGCATGGTATTTTGGTTGGTCTTCTTCAAAACTTGGGAGCTGGAGGTGAGCATCTGGAAAATACCTGGATTTGGTGGGATTGGGTGGGGCCCCATGTGGGCTCCCTGCCCCTGAGTGTCTGGAAATGATAGGATGAGGGAAACTAGGGTCCTAGACATCGAGGGGCTTTTTGCTGGGATACTGCTTTGTCCCCAGAAAGGGATTAAGGTGTGTGCAAGTGAGGGCGGGGACAGGGAAATGTAGGTGGGGACAGGGCAGTGCAGGTAGCTCTGGGCGTTAGAAGGGACCCGTGTGGAAATGGGAGAGGAAAGAATATGAATGTAGTGGCAGGGTGCAAGGGTGTCAGGGTGGAGGTGAAGCATGACGGGCTGCGGCACCGGGTTGTGCCGGGAGTATGGGGGTGCGTGTAGTTGGCCGCGGGCTCCCTGCAATTATCCTGGGATGTCAGGTGCGGATGGGGGGGCAAACTATGACGGACATCCTTCCACTGCTAGGGGAAAGGAGGTCGGTGTCCCTTCGTGGGTGACTGTGGGGCTGCTGGCCACCACGGGATCTCCTTGACCGGGCAGGAGCGGCTCGCGGCCGCGGAGCCCGCAGAGGTGAAGGCCAGTGGCGTGCCAGCTCCCAGACTTTAGCCTGGAGGGACGGGGCAGCTCCAGGGGGCTGGCTATTATGGGATGTCAGGGCAGAAAGTGGGAGACTGATTATTACGGGATGTGTGTGGGAGGAGGCCGAACGTCCGTTGTTGTAGTAGGTGGGGGGGTGAGTTTCTGACTATTATGGGATGTCAAACTGGGGGCGGATGAAGGGTGGTTATTATGGGATGTCTGTGGGGGATGGGGATGAGTATTATGGGATAGGAGGCTGGGAGGGGTGCCTATTATGGGATGGCTATGGGGAGGGAGGGGGTGATGAATTATTATGGGATGTTAGCAGTCGGGCCAAGAGTGAAGAAGTTGGCAAAGGATGGCTATTATGGGATGCCAAAGAGGGTTAGTTGCAAAAGGTCTGCAGCATTATGAGATGTCGGCAGCCCCCTGGCATGTATGTGTATGGGGTGCGGGGTGCGTGCGTGTATGTGTGTGTGTGTGTGGGGGGGTTGTCCGTGCGTATTATGGGATG